TAAGGGTAAGGGATTTTTTTTTTTGCATGGGGGGGAAGGGCAGATGGATGGACAATGGCCAGAAAGAGAGGGAAATAGGGACTGGAAATAAAGTACAGTCTTTTGTATTTTTACAGCTCAAAGATGCTTTTGAACAGGACTGCTCCCAACTGTGGAAAACCATATTTTTATGGAAAAAAAAAATATGCCAGTAACAATGGATTTACAAGAACTGAGSTAGTGTGTCCTATACGCATTTATTCCATATTATGCAAGATTAATTGTTTGGAGCATTGTGCCTTCAGGAGTGTTCTAAGCATCAGGGAGCCAAATTTAGCCTTGATATCATGAAGTCAAATTTCCTTTTGTACCACAAAGTCCCCAGGATGCCTGATTACAACAGTGCTGAATCTGGCACTGGAAGATGTTACCTACAGACTGGGCACAGTTCTGTTTAAATATGACAAATTGCATTTGCTTCCTTAGCCTGCATGAATCGATGTACACACTTTGGTGCTAGACCTTCAAAACATTTTATTTTAAACAGACTTAATGCCTTTTGTTGTTTTGGAATGAGAAAGAATAAAAATATTATAGCAGATGGCAATCTCATTATAGTTGTCACAAATAGGATTTTAAGGCTGCACTCTCAATTACACTATGGCCCCATTATATTTCCTACCCATCCTAAGAATACCTTAAACTGGTGTAAATGTAATTATGAAATGTAATTTGTTTCAGCTGCTAACTATAAAATGGGATTTATCTATATAGGACTCGCCTATACAGGGAAATGGAATAATTACACCCAATTAAAACATCTACCTGGGATGTTACATCAGCAAAGCCATAGCGCTACAAATTATTATGCTACAATTATGCTCATTAGTTTTCCCATGTAAAAAGGCTCTTATCATAAATAAAAATGGGTCTCTAATGATTAATTCAGTATTATATTTATCCAGGTTTATTGGCATGGGGGAATATATCGGTTACCATGGAATCAAAAGGCAGAGTCTAACAGCAGAGTAAAGGACCAGGCATYGAAAGTATCAGCAGTATGAGAAAACCTCTTTTAAACAAAAAGGTTTGCCGTTACAAACCTGTCTGTGAACTTTTGGACAGCATCCTGTGTACCATCCAAGCAACCCCACGGCCCTACTTCAAACTGGAGTGAGAAGTTTTGCACTAGCTGAGGATTTGACTTGCAAAATTACAAAGATKTCATAAAACTTTGAGTCCTTTCAGTTATGTTGGTTTTTAGAGCAAAATGTTGAGGAATGTCCAACRTCCATCAAAGACAGCAATTTGCCTGTAGTAACTCTTTGCCTGAATTCTGTTTTGTTTCAGTTACAGATTAATGAGGCCAGTTAATTGGCAAACACTCAGTGTGGCTGAAGACGAAATGAAGATACTATTGTGAGCATCTGATAAACTTAGCCAGGCATATCTTTGAGAGAAACTGCTCTTCATGACCACTGTTGAAAGAAATCATCAAATATTACACTGTTTTGGGGAAATTGCGGTGCTTATGTGCAACCCTTTTGCCATAGATCTTTGCCGTACACAGCAAGTATGGTACTTAGAGCTATTCAGTATTTTCTTCGAGGTTTTTCAAGGATAGTGAATCCAAAATGAAAAACCAYGCCTAGACTGTAAAGAGGCAAGACTCACGCCAATTTTTTTTTTTTTAAGGATCTGTATTTTGCTATTGAAAATCTCATTTGGGGATACATCCATTGACATTGCACCCACAAAACATGATCAGCGCCAAGATGCAGCCAGGAAATGGCATTTCTTAGATAAGTCACCTTTAGTTTTGTGACCTGGTTACAGACTGCTCTAATTCTGAGAGAGCCCTTAGCTGGACTGCTGGGAYCTTGGGCAAAGGCACGAATTCCCTGTTCACCTTAGCTGGACTGCTGGGACCTTGGGCAAAGGCACGAATTCCCTGTTCACCTTAGCTGGACTGCTGGGACCTTGGGCAAAGGCACGAATTCCCTGTTCACCTTAGCTGGACTSCTGGGACCTTGGGCAAAGGCARGAATTCCCTGYTCACCTCAAGCRGCCACCCGGCCCTGACAATACGTGGAGCAGCGGTCTCCGCCCGCAGCTGGGGCACCATCGCTCCCCGCGGAGCAGCTCTGCCCTCGCCGGTGGCAGCCTTTCACGGAGCAAAGCTATGCGCTGTGCCAAGAATCCCTGCAGGCATTAGCGTGACACAAACCCTGCCTGCTGCCCCCGGACCCCTGCAGGCCCCTGAGCGCGGGCTGCACAGGGCCGTATTTGGTATTCCTCGGGGAGCTCTGCACAGGACGAGCTCAGCTCCCAGATGGTTCCAGCCCCTCGGACCGTGCCGCGGGCTCGGCACAGGGGCTGCCCCGCCTGGGAGCCGTGCGCTCCCCGAGCGCCGGCACAAGTCCCGTTGGGAGGTGGTGCCGGGACCGTGCCCCTGCCCGGCCCCTCCTGCCCGGCCCAACCGCGCCGGGGGTTTGCCAAGGGCAGCGTAAGCGACGCGAGGACAACGCCGGCAAAGTTTATTGTTGGCAAAATCACGGGACACGGGTTGCGCGTCGCCGGCCGGCAGCCCCAGCGCGGGGTTCCAGCCCAGGGCAGCCGCCCCCGCCGAGGAGGAACCGGCCCGTCCCCCCGCGGCCTGGAGTGACCCCGGCCGGATCCCCCGGCGACCGGCAATGCCCGCGCCCGGCGCCTGATGAAGCGGGCTGCGGCCGGTCCTCCGCCGCGCCCCGGGGTTCCCCACCCGA